CCCCGTGTGGCGTCGACGGAACGCCACGCCTGCCATGCCCTGTGAGCCTGCAACGCATAGGAACCGCGGTGAAAGACCACCCCCTGCGCATCCCCCTCTGGTGTCGAGTAAGTGTCACGCGTGCCACGCTCTCCGACCCTGGCACGCATAGGAGCCGCGGTGAGAGACCACCCCCTGCGCGCCATCTCTGCTGTCGAAAAAATGCCACACCTGCCACGCTCTCCGAACCTGGCGCGCATAGAGGCCGCGGTGAGAGACCACCCCCTACGCACCCTCCCTGGCGCCGAGAAGATGCCATGCGTGCCACGCTCTCCGACCCTGGCACGCATAGAAGCCGCGGTGAGGGACCACCCCCTGCGCACCACTTCTGGTGTCGAGGAGGTGTAACGCCTGCCACGCTCTCCGACCCTGGCACGCATAGGAGCCGCGGTGAAAGACCACCCCCTGCGCACCCCCCTCCCCCTCTGGAGTCGACAAATGCAACGCCTGATACAGTCTCCGACACTGGCACGCACAAGGGCCGCGCTGGGAGATCCCCCCTGCGCACCCGCTCCGGCGTCGAGAAAATGCCACCCCTGCCACACTTTGCGAACGTACAACGGATAATGACACCACATCCAGCCCCCCCTCCGCGGCGTCGAGAAAATGCCACCCCTGCCACATTTTGCGAGCGTACGACGAACAAAACCCCCACCCCCAGCACACCCCTTGTGGCGTCGAGAAAATGTCACCCGTGCCACGCTTTGCGTGATGCGCAATATGCACGGTGCGTGCGCGTCTGTACCTGGACGTGTGTCTCATGTGGGTGCCCACTATGTGCACGTACCGTGCCGGTGTTGCGCGTGGGTGGGGGGGGGAGGAAGAGGAAGAGGGAAAGAAGGGGGCGACGTGACCTTCGCAGGTGCGACGCGGGTGGGGAACATATTGCGCGACCGTGGAACCCCACATACTTATATGATGGCTGGAGTGATGATGGCTGAGGTGAAACATGTGACAACGATGTTGGCGGCCATTCCTTTCGCACCCCCTGCGGTGTCGAGAAAATGCCACGCCTGTTGCGCCCTGGACGACCAGCTCGGATAGAAGCCGCGCTCAGTGACCACCCCTCTGCGGACCCCGTAAGAATATGAGAACATGCCACGCCTGCTCCGCCAGCGTTTCCCTGCGCCCTGAGCACGACCGGCACGGATAGCAAACTTGCGCGCCGATGTGCCCTGAGCACCACCGTCACGGATAGAGGCCGCGCTCAAGGACCACCCCGCGCGCACCCCCTGCGGCGTCGAGAATAATTTGCCATGCCTGCTATGTCCTGGACGACCGTCACGGACAGCAGCTCCCTGGACAACCGGCACGGATAGCGACCGCGCTCAAAGACCACCCCCTGCTGTCGGGAAAGTGCCATTCCTGCTATGCCCTGGGCGACCGGCACGGATAGCGGCCGCGCTCAGGGACCGCCCCCTGCGCACCCCCTTATGGCGTCGACAGAACTTGCCACGCCTGCTACGCCCTGCTGCCCAGCAACGGTCCGTTTCCGCCCGTTCAGGGGACAGCTGAATGCGAGGGGTGCCTGTGGAACAAACAGAGGTAGCAAGCAGAACTGCTGGTGACCGCTGGGGAGTGATGGCCTGCGTGGGCGTGGGTTTCATGGGCGTGTCCTGCGCGGGCGCGGCAACGCGCCCGTCGCCGGCATCGCCGACCCGCCGAACATTCACCAACGGCGAGCCATCGCTACCCTCCGCCAACCCTGGCTGATCAGCTGGGAACCCGCCGGAAGAAGGGGTTCTGTAAGTACCTGACCAAGCACTGCCCCCTTGCATCGTCGTCGCCTCGTTGACGCGGCAAATTTTTGTACCTGGCGAGGAGCGTCCCAGAGGCTGTCGCTGGTAAACAAGATATGCGCTGTGATAACGTTCCCATGCCTGACAACATGTTTGCGCAAACCATCTAGGCTCACAGCGGCGCCCATCTCCAACTTTGTGTTATTGAGCTGCTCGCACAAAGGTGGCAACGCGGTGATGGCGCATTTGGGCGCCATGACAGGGACATTACTTTTGACGGAGAATCACTGGCGGTCGCCAGCTTTCACCTATCGAGCTGCGTGAACCGGCATGAGCCAGCATGGCTACAGCTCGTGATGATGATGATGCTGCTGATGATGATGATGATGTTGATGATGATAGCGATAGCGCCCCCCAGTCTTGTGCACCCTTGCGTCCGCCTGAAAATGCCGTTCGCCCTACACTCTGAAAGAACCCACCCCCTGCACACTCCCTCTGGTGTCGAGAAAGTGCCACGCCTGCTATCCCCTGGACGAGAGGCGCACACCTTATGGTGTCGAAAAAGTGCAACGCCTGCGATGCCCTGGACGAGAGGCGCGCGTAGCGGCCGCGGTGAGAGGCCATCCCCTGCGCACCCCCTCGGCTGTCGAGAAAGTGCCACGCCTGCTACGCCCTGGACGAAAGGCGCACGTAGCGGCCGCGGTGAAAGACCACCCCTTGCGCACCCCCTCTGGTGTCGACAAAGTGCCACGCCTGCTGTGCCTGGACGAGAGGCGCGCATAGCGGCCGCGGTGAGAGGCCACACCCTGCGCACCGCGCATAGCGGCCGCCGTGAGAGACCACACCCTGCGCACCCCCTCTAGTGTCGAGAAAATGCCGCGTCTGCGATGCCCTGGACGAGAGGCGAGCATAGCGGCCGCGGTGAGAGGCCACCCCCTGCGCACCCCCTCTGGTGTCGAGAAAGTGCCACGCCTGCTGTGCCTGGACGAGAGGCGCGCGTAGCGGCCGTGGTGAGAGACGACCCCCTGCGCAACCCCTCTGGTGTCGAGAAAGTGCCACGCCTGCTATGCCCTGGACGAGAGGCGCGCATACTGCGCACCCCCTTCTGATGTCGAGAAAGTGCCACGCCTGCTATGGCCTGGACGAGAGGCGCACATATCGGCCGCGGTGAGAGGCCACCCCCTGCGCACCCCCTCGGCTGTCGAGAAAGCGCCACGCCTGCCATGCCCTGGACGAGAGGCGAGCATAGCGGCCGCGGTGAGAGGCCACCCCGTGCGCACCCCCTCTGGTGTCGAGAAAGTGCCACGCCTGCTATGCCCTGGACGAGAAGCGCGCATAGCGGCCGCGGTGAGAGACCACCCCCTGCGCACCCCCTCAGATGTCGAGAGAGTGCCGCGCCTCATATTGTCGCGCATGTGTTGCGTGGTGACGCGTCGTAGATATGATTCGTGTGCGGCTGTATGTTGAGAAAGTACCACGCCTGCCGTGCCCTGCGCCATGGTCCGCATAGAGCCTCCTGCCATGCACTGCGAATCCTACACGCACGTCTTGTGTATGGCGTGTCCTGTGTATGTGTATGATGCGTGTGCGGCCGTATCGGGACGTGTGTCTCATGTGTGTGCCCAGCATGTAGCGCATATCGAGCGCTGCCGCATGCCCAGCGACAGCCTCACGGACACGGGCGGCCTGCCGTGGCGCGTGCGTGGGCATGCCGTCGTGCAGGCATCGGTCGTGGACGGGCAGGGCCGAGCGCCCCCTGGATCCGACCTGCTGCCAACGCTGCGGGGCGAGCGCACAGCACCACGTGCGGCCAGCCGAGGGGCTGCACGCACCCTGCCTGGGCAGCCAAGGCCCTGGCAAGAGGAGTCGGCGTGCCCGGCCGAGGCGGCCGCAGCACCCCGCGCGAGCGGGCCGGCACTGTCTCGGCGGTGAGGGGCCCCGAGGACGCCTGCATCGCGCCGTGGGGGCCCAGGCTGGGAAGCGGTGAGGCTGGGGGCCCGGAGGCCCAGGCCGGGGCCGGCACGAAGTGCGGCCAGGCGATGTCTTCCCTGGATGTGCACGAGCTGCACGGCTTCGCTGGGCCCAGAGGTCTCCGTCCAGTGGCAGCGGGAGCAGGCCGTTGATGGACAGCCCGAGGGAGGACGAGGGCCTCCAGCGAGGCGATGCTGTCCGCGGCGGTCGTGACGCCGTGACGGCCGTACCTTTTACCATCCCGTTTGTTCGGGATGCGCCAGGCCCGGTGCAGGTGGCTGGCGAGGATGTAGACACCTAGTTGCCTGCCCTCTTCCCTCTGCCCCTCTTTCCATCCCTCGAGAAATTGCCCCCAGAGTTTCCACAAAGCCTTGGGGAACAAATAGTCATTTAAACTAGCAGGGTTTCAGCCCAACTTCCAAAAGGCAGGGTGCGGCGTGCGGCGGCGGTTCGCCGTAGGCGTCTTCGATAGCCAACCAGACCCCAGATCTCTGGGCCAATCTGGGCGTTCTCGGGCGATTCTGCGCTGCGTCGATTGACTTTCCGAGAGGCCTCGGAAGCATGGCTTAAAACTTGCAACCCGCATGTCCAACGTGGCTTTAGATGGTCCCAGGGCAAGTCCTGGAGCCTCCTTGCGTTTCCTGGGCCGGTTTAGAGGTGGGGACCTGCCCGAGAGATCGACATCACTAGAAAGCATTAGGTGGTGTGTGATTTGCGTTGTTGCTTTTCAATATGAAGAGCGTCCAAGACTGCCCAAGGTCCCCAAGATCGTCGCAAGATGGCCCCAGAGGCCCGAAAGAGGGCCCAAGAGGCATCCAGACCGCCCGCCCCAGAGAGGGCCCCAAAGGAATCCAAATTTAAATGTCAGACCGTTCCCTAAGGTGGCGCCGGAGACTGCCGGCAGGCCCTCGAGAGGCCCCAAAGAGGCCTCCAAGAGGACCCGAAGAGGCTTGAAAGAGACCCCCAAAAGGCATCCCAAAAACCCCAACAGGGACACAAGAGGCCACGACCCAGGCACAGTGGCGTGATGGGCCGAAGCCCACTAGATATCACCAAGTATCCGAATAACGTTTAAGCTATCAGTGCGGATCATCGTTATCCCCTGGTGCGTGGTACCCCGCGAACCGAACTGAAACAAATGTTACGTCTGGGTCCAGACCGCTCACCCCCCAAACCTGCAACCCAGCTGTCAGTCCGGGAGGACGGATACCCGAAGGACCATGCCGAGCCAGCAAACCCTGTCCCCCTCTCCATGGTCTTGCTCTCGAAGAACGACTGGAGGTTCGCGGGGTTGCCGAAGAGGCCGCAAACTACAAAGATCTGCCCCGCGGCGTCTCACTCCTCTCCTCCTTCTCCACCTGATCCTCCGACACTTCCACCTGCCCCTCGCGCGCAGCCAACAGCCGCCAGCAACATCTGAGATGCTCTGCTTGGGTCCTGAGCAGGGTGCGAAAAGACGATACCCAATGCAGCCTGATGGGCAAAACCATGGGAAGCACCTCGCGGGATGCAGCTCAAGGGACGCAGGCTACCGGGGTGCACCTGCACCGCCCCGCCCGCCGCCCCTGCCATAGCGTCAGCCTCGGCGGGAGGGAGGACGCGAGCCCGGGTAGGAGGGGGGCGCGCTCAAGTGACAAGTGCTCTTCTAAGGAGAGACCCCGACGAAGAAGACCACCAGAATCCCAACTGGCGGGAGGGTGCCTCCACCATGCTTGCACGGGCCTGAAGGAGGAGGAGGCGAGGGAGGAGGAAGGAGGAGGCGGAGGAGGAGGGAGGAGGACGGAAGGAGGAGGCGAGGGAGGAGGAAGACTACAACATGCGCCCGCCGGTCCAGACGTGTTCTCGGGTGTCGGGTGTGCGACTGGCGCTCCACGCTCGGCGGATGCCTTCGGGCCTTCTGTCCAGGGCCGCGCGTGGGCGGTGCTGCCCTTGCTCCCCCCGACCTCCTCCACCACTCGCGCTGTCCCCCAGATGCGCGTCGGGCCACGGATTGAACGCTCCTCGAGGCGCGCTGTTTTGCGAGGCTTGCCTCCAACGCTGAACTGTTGAGCATCCCATGCCGCCCTCCCATCAAAGCTGGGGAGGAAACGATGCCGCGCTTCTCGGGAGGAGTGCATCCCAAGAGCGGCGGTTGTTCCTGAAGATGTATAACATGATGTTGGTGCCCAGGCGTGGCCCGGTCTCAGGGGGTGCCCAATCCAATAGAATCCTCTCCGAATGGTTAAGACATAATGCAGTGAGCCCAGCGCGACCGAATACTATGCAATACACACATATGGACATATGGGTATACCTGATTGATGGTATGTACACGTGTATGTGATCTTATTATGTTTCATCACGCAGCAATGCACTTGCGGAATACAACTTGTGTTACTGGCAATGCCATACTACAGCATTGGCACAGCACGGCATCACACAGCATGGCGCAGCGTAGCCGATGCCCACGTAGCACTGCACGATTTATCACAGCTTGTAGCACTGGACATCTTAACATAACAGGGTCAAGCAATTGCATAGCAGAGCAACGTATGGCCTACCACAGCATGTCGCGACATTGTACGAAGCTGGCTAGCGTTATTTAACATGGTACGACATGGTACAGCATAGCAAAAACATACTATTCTACCTTGTCGCATCAAAACATGTCGCTACGCAGCACCTCCATACCTCTATGTGACACGACGCATCATTGCATGTGCATTTCATAGAATAGCATGGCATACCACATCATTGACCAGCATCGTAGAATGCTGTACTGCACAGCACAGCATAGCACACCTTACCGTAGCATACGCAGAGCAAACACTTCATTGTATAGTGTCAATAGCGTAGCACCGCATAGCAAATCCACAGCACAACGCTTCCGCAAGAAAACACAATATCTCACAACATTCCGCACCATAGCATATCATCGGGTTCTCGCTTTGCACAACTGGCCCGTGCGTTGCGTAGCACGGCATAGCACATCGCAGCAGACATCTCATAGCATCACCCATCATAGCACAACATATCATGGTACTCGCAGGGCGCGTAAGTGGTTCTGACAGGAGCACAACATCACTGCATAGTACAAAAAAGCATAGAACGGCCCAGCATAATCCTAAGCTGTCACGAGAAGTCAGGGCATGAGCCTAGGTGTCAATTAGCCGGCCGCGCAACCGACGCAACGACCACAGGCCCTTTGCACAGAACAAGCGGGACCCCAAACGCAAAGCCCGATCGGGGACCCTCCCACCGCCTGCGAGAAATGAAAACATCGCAGTAAATATTCGAGAGCCTCCGAGAACCTCCCGAGAACCTTGAAATACCTACCTCTTCTCCCATCCTCCTCCTCATCTTCACCATCCTTCTCCTTCTTCTCCTCCGCGTCCTCCTCCTCATTTCCCTCCTCCTGGACTCTTCTCGTACCATGTCCCCGCCAAAAGCGCGGTAATGAACGCGCCGTGCTCTGGAGGCACGAGGGTCGATATGACGTAGCCCCACCCTGCCGCCGGTGCTGCACGGGGGGGGCAGACGACCGGCGAAGGACGCCGGCGCGCGGCCAGTGCTCGATCGGAGGTCGGCCCAGCGGCTGAGGAGAGCGGGCAGGCAAGCCTTAGCTGTATCGAATCGCGAGATGCTGAGACAATCAAACTTCGCGCATCGCGCCCCGCGATGCGCGACCAGCGGTTATCTTCCCGCCCCCGCGCCGCGCGCTGGAGAAGGGCAGCTATCATGCTCGGGCCGCGACGCGCGAAGAGCGATTATCTTCGCGCCCCTTGGGGCAACCACTTCTGCGCCAGCATCCAGGCGAAATGCCGGCACCGCTGCGCATAGCTCTTCGGCCCGACTCCTCCCCCTCCTCCTCCTCCTCCTCCTCCTCCTCCTCCTCCTCCTCCTCCTCCTCCTCCTCCTCCTCCTCCTCCTCCCCCTCCTCCTCCTCTTCCTCCTCCTCCTCCTCCCCCTCCTCCCCTCCCCCTCCTCCTCCTCCTCCTCCTCCTCCTCCTCCTCCTCCTCCTCCTCCTCCTCCTCCTCCCTCCTCCTCCTCATTTTGGCTCAAGCGTTCGCATGGCCCCGCCGCCCGCCGCTCCCTCCTCGCGTCGGAGCCGCCGTGGGATGGCGTGGCCTAGAGGGGCTCGCGCGCTGCCCGCCGCCGCCGCCGCGCTGGTGGAGGCGGCCGTGCGCGGCGCTGTCCTGGGGGGCGCCCCACGCCGCACTGTCGCGGCGGTGGCAAGGTCGGCCGTCTCGGCCGCGCTGTTCGCTCAGCGCGCCGAGGAAGACGTGCCGCCGCCTCGCGACGCTGCCGCTGGTGGCGATCCACCCCCTGCTCATCCTGATGTTCCTCGCCCTGGCCCTGCTGGTGCAGCGGTCGCCGAGCCCGCGGCGCGTGCCGCGCGGCGGAGGCGGCGCCGCCAGCGCCGCGCGGCGAGGAAAGCGGCGGCGGGCGCTCCTGCTGCCGTCGTGGTGGAGACGACGGAGGTCGACGTGGCGGCCGCGGGTGCGGCGGCTGGCTCTGCTGGCACGGGCCTCGCGCTCGTCCAGGTGGCGGGGGCTGCTGGCGACGCGGACGCCGACGACGACTCCATGGCCGGCGACGCCTGGGCCGACGGCCTGCGGCGCTCGGCACCCGGCGCTGTCCCCTCGGGCGGCGCCGACGCGCGGGCTGGTGCTCCGGCGGCGCCTGCTGCGCCCTGCGTGCCTGCGTCTGCTGCTGCTGGTGCGGCGGCGGCTGCGGGCGGCGAGGCGTGGCGGCTCGCACCGTGGGAGGAGAGGCACCCGGGGGAGGGGGACGTTCGGGTGCGCGCGGCGCGGGTCCTCGCGGAGATCGGGCATCGCTCCTCCTGATGCTCGTGGAGTCGCTGGTGCGGTTCCTCGTGTTCCTGGTGCTCGAGGAGTCGCTCGTGCGGATCCTCGTGCTCGCGAGCGTGGAGCTTTTCCTCTCCCGCTCGTCGGCGTGGTACGCGTACTACGTCTACCTTGACTGCATCGTCGGCACGGTCGGGGGGTCCAGGTCTGGTCAGGTCCAGGCCTGGCCCCCCGCTGACCTCTGGTGTTGTCAGGGCGCGGCGCATGTAAAAAAAATCCCCCTCCTCCTCCTCCTCCTCCCCCTCCTCCCCCTCCTCCCCCTCCTCCTCGCCCCTCCCGAACCGAATCGCGAAGTCGGATCGCTGGGCCCGGCTCCGGCCTGCCCCTGCCCGGGCTGGCGAGTCGCACCGCAGCGGGTGGGGTCGGAATCGCGGCCCGAGCAGGCGGACCGGATCGCGTCGTGTCGGATCGCGGGCGGCCCTGCCAGGGTACTCCAGATGTCGCAATAAAGGGAGGGGGGTCTCATTTCGAGGGGGGGTCTCTCCCAGGCTATCTTGGAGGGCCTGGGGGGGTCTGGGGGCGATGTTTTGGAGGGTTCTCCCACGGGGGGGGTCTGAAATGGCTTGTCTTGGAGGGTCCAGACCCCCTCCCTTCTATTACGAAATCTGGAGTACGCTGCGGAGGAACATTCCCTGGCTGGCCTGGTCGTGGGAACATGGAGCGACAGTGCTCGGGACAGCCGGGCTGACGATTGGGTGCATCGTCGGCGACGGGGCCACCTGCGTCCGGCCGCAAGAGATGGCTCCTCACATGCTGAGGAGAAGGTGTGGTAAGCAAGGGGGCGAAGAGGGTATGAGCATGGGGAGAGGAGGGGGACGAGAGGCGCGGAGGAGAGGGCGACACGAGGACCTACGCCCTCCAGGTCATCGGTCGCGCCTCCTCCTCCTCCTCCTCCTCCTCCTCCTGCTCATGCTCCTCCTCCTCATCCCCTCTTTCTGCGCGTCGGGCAGGAGGCTACCCTCCATTCCGTCCGTGCAAGAGGAAGAAGGTGTGACATGTAGATTAGCATGGAGCCCCAAGACAGGGCGACGGTAGCAAGAGAGCAGCTGTGAGGGCAACTTGCGGCGGCAAGCAACGCGACAGCGCGGAAACTCTGCTGCTACTGGTCCCCTTCCTCACCCCCTCCCTGGCGCATGCGCGCCAGCCCTCATTCTGCTCGTCTTCCTCGTCCTCGCCCTCGTCCTCATGCTGCTGCTGCTGCTGCTTCTGCTGCTGCTGCTGCTGCTGCTGCTCCGCCTCCTCCTCCTCCTCATCCACTGCCAACACCAATCCGTATTACCTCCTGCTGCTGCTCTTCCTCCTCAGAACATGTGTATCGCCGTGGCTATCGTCATCATAATCCGTACCCTCACCCACCTCATACTTCACCCTTCTCATCGTCATCTGACTGACCACCATCATCACCTCTTTGGTCACCAATAATCATAAGCACCCTCATCACCATCACATTAATCATACTCATCTTCGCCAGCATCATCATAATCATCATCAATATCAACATAGCCAAGATCCATCACAACTCTTCGTCAGTCCTCATCATCCTGTTCGTCCCCATGATTACCATCGCCATCCTCATCCCTATGCTCCTCTTCCTCCTCCACCTGGTCCTACTCCTCCTCTTTCCCTTCCTTTCCGTTCCATCCTCTTCCCCGTGGGACGCGCAGGAACTGTGGCTTGCCGTGCCCAGAGTCGAAAATATCCTCCCCACCTGACCACGAGACGTGAGACGCCCTTCCCGTTCAAGACCCCGAAGCGAACACGGTGCGACAGACCAAAAAGAGCGACACCGAGCATGGCGGGGCACGGCACGACGTCCGGGCACGGCACGGCACGGCACGGCACGGCACACCTGCTGCATTCTGAGACATGTGCACGACACGGCACGCGGGCACGGACTGGCACGGCGCTTTCCTCCGAAGCCTCCGGCACCCGAGCACGGCACGGCAGTGCACGCAGGCACGGCACAGCACGGCACGCCTCTCGCAAAACGGCACGGCAGGGCACGCGGGCACGGCACGGCACTTCACACGCTTCGCATGTATTCTAGAGCCTATAGGGAGGCCACGGCACGACACAGTTTCTGCATTCTTTCTTTAGGCAGAAGACAGAAGCCGGCAACAACACACACACACATGTTCCACCTTCTCGAACATCGACACGGCACGCGGGCATGGCACGGCACGGCACGGTTTCCGAATGCTTAAACCGTAGCGCGGCACGACACACGTCTGCATTCCAGAACCAAGGCACGGCACGGCACGCGGGCACGGCACGGCACGGCAATATAATATTGCACACTGCACACTGCACACCAATGCACTCAGCCACGGCACAGCACGGCACAGCATGATGGCAGCACATGTTTCGCATTCGGTGCCTAAGAAAAGTGCATCACAAGGCATTTCAGACCTATGACAGCATGCGTTGTTTAGGCAACCAATTGCAATCTCAAGCCTAAGCACGACACAGGCACGACACAGAGTGGGCACGGCAAAGCACGCAGGCACGGCACGGCACGGCACGGCACGGCACACGATTCGCCCTCCGCCTCTGACTGGCACAGCACGGCATGCGGGCACGGCGCAGAAACGAAACGCTTCCTGCCTCGCAGACGACAAACATCTCAGCCCGGCACGCCACGGTGATCCAACACCGCACGGCACGGCTCGAGACCTGGCGCCACGGCACGGCACGGCACGGCGCGAGGGCACGGCACGGCACGGCACGGCTTTCCAACCCCCTGGCAACTGGGCACGCCACGCCGCGGCGCGCGTTGGGCACGGCACCGCACCGCACCCGCCCACACCTCTCGCATGCCAGGACGGCCCCGGGCACGTCGCGGCACGCGGGCACGGCGCGTCTCGCCGCGCGGGCACGGCACGGAGCGCTCCTGCGTGCCAAGAGAGCCTGGGCAGGACACGGCGCTGCACGGCACGCGGGCGCGGCGTGGCACGGCGCAACGGATTTCACGAGTTCTGACAGCACGCGGGCACGGCACGGCACGCGGACACGGCACAGGACGGCACGGTACATGAATCGGATTCTGTGCCTCAGAGACGAGCTCTCTCGAATGCCAGGCATTGCACCAACAGTTACACGAATGGAAATGGGTGGTTTTCAGAATGTGGTTCTCGCCTGGGCGCGCGCACACTCGTCTTGAAAGTGCCCGACAGTGTCACAGATGGATTATGTTTGATTTGTATGTTTTCAACAGGGTCACTGATGGAGGGGTGTGGTTTCCAAAATGTGGCTCTCACCTTGGCGCCGTAAATATTCGTCTTGAACCTTCCATCAAGTTCACGGATGGAGGAATGGTGGTTTTCAAAACTGGGCTCTCGCCGTAGCGCCGGGCGCATTCGCCTTCAAAGCGTCCAGCAGTTACACGGACCTAGAGGGATCGTTTTCGAAATATGGCTCTAAGCTTGGCCGCACGAACCGTTGCCTTCGAAGTTCCCATCAGTTGCACGGAGTATTGAAGCAGCTCTTTTTCGAACTCAAGCTGTCGTTTGAGACTTCCTTCGCAAGCATAGGAACACCTTTTAACGTGAGCGACAGCTCCACAGATGAAGGGGGCTCCTTTTCAAAACGGAGCTCTCGCTGAAACTTCCTTAGGATGTATGGCAGGACTTTCAAGTCAGATACTCACTGCACTGGTTATGGACGGCTCTTGTGAAAGGCGTGTGAGATGATTGGCTGCCCCCCCCTCCCCCTCCCACAGTGTCAAACATCCCGTTTAAGGGCGGGGAGGGTGTCCGGGCTCCTCGGCGCCTCCTCGGAGACTCCGCAGCTTCCAAATCTCCCGAACCACGGAACGATTGGCCCCAGACGCCTACGATGGCTCCAAGAAACCTCAAGACGCCTTCGAGACACCCCAAGGGCCTTCCCAAAAGGGCCTCCAGAGGCACAGATCAATGGTTTCCCTCAGGTTCATCTTTGTTTCTGGGGTTATCGTTTTCTGGGACTTCCGACGCTCCAAGACGACCCAAGAGGCCCCGTAGACCGCCCAAAAACTCAAGAGGCCCCCACAGGCCCCAGGACGGCCCGAGGGTTCCCCAAGACGGATAAAGTTCGCCCCAAGAGGGCTCCAAGAGAGGCGAGGAGGGACAACACAAACCGAACTTCCTAGCTTTGCGCCCCGAGAGGACCCCGAAAGGCGCCAAGAAGTCCCCAAGCGGCCCAAAAGAGGCCTCCAAAAAGCCCAAAGCGGCCCGCAAGAGGCCCAACAGAGGCCCCAAAGCGGCCCCCCAACACGCTTCAGAACTGCCTCCAAGAGGCTCCGCCAGGCCCCCAAACAGCTCCCAAGACGCCCATAAACATCCCCACATCGTGCCCAAGAAGCCCACGACGCCTCAACCGTGGACTCCACGCCTCTTCTGGGGGTCGGCGGAATGACGTAAGTCTCTTGAATAATTGCACCGATTATGGACGGCTCTTTTCAAAGCGAGGCTCTCGCTGAACACTCTGTTGTGTTTCATGGCCATGCGTTGTCACCGTCCTGTTCGCTAGAAGCATACATGGCAGCTCCTGATCAAAACATAGCTCTAATATGAACTGCAAGATCATGGGGATCTCGCCTTTCGACGGGGCACTTCCTGCAATAAAGAGGAGTTCTTGTAGGGGCATATCGGGGTGGGGTTTAGGGCGGGTGGACATACTGCAGCATCGCTGATGCATCTTTAATTACTCTGGTCCTCCTCCTCCTCCTCCTCCTCCTCCTCGTCCTCCTCCTCCCCCTCCTCCTCTTCCGCCTCCTCCGCCTCCTCCTCCTCTTCCGCCTCCTCCGCCTCCTCCTCCTCCGTCTCCTCCTCCTCCTCCTCATCCTCCTCCTCCTCCTCCTCCTCCTCGTCCTCGCCTCCTCCTCTCTCGGCCTCACCGCACCCTGCTGCCATTTCCCCTCCTCATTCGTTCCCCCTCCCTCCTCCCTCCTCCATCCCGCCAATCCTCCCACCCTCCCCCGCCTCCTCCCTCCACCCTTCTCCATCCTCCCCCCCCCCGCCCCATCCCCCGCTCCCCACGCACTCCCCCCACCCCCAGTCACCCGTCCCTCCCTCCCGCCCTCACCCGCCCATCCCCTCCTTCGCAGGCGGGCCGCACGTCCGTCCAGCCGCGCACTGTGAGCGGGGGCTAGCGCACCCCCCCACGCCCAGGAACGATCGCACGCTTCCAACGAGGGGCCCTGCCTCGCCCTCGGCCCTGCCTTCCCACCTTCCCTCCGCCCCGCCCACCCGCCCACCCCCCCCACCACTCACCGCGCCCCAAGGCCCTCCGTCCCCTCCCCCCCCGCTGCGAGGCCCTCGCGCGCGGAGGCGCCGGGCGGCACGCCCCCGTGCTCCTCCTGGCGGCCTCTCTGCGCCGCAGGTCGATCGAACCCCGTGATGGCTCGGGCCTGGGCCGCCCAGTGAGGCGAAGACACAGCAGGGGCCAAACCGGACAGGGATAAAAGTCGGGGATCTCGGAGATCTGGCGAGCAGCTCTGGAGGACGCATCGGGCGCCGCGGCTGTTCCAGAACGTTCGCATGGGGCGCGGGGCTTGCCAGGCGAGCTCGCGGGGGCTCAGACACTGACAGCATGTCAGACCCCGGTGTTGCCACGCCCGCCGGCCAGTGGTTGCCTCACGTGTCGTTGGATCGCCGCAGGCACACTCGAGCTCGGCCCGTGGCCCGTGGAACTCGGGTTCGAGGCGTCGTGACGTCCTGCGGAGCGTTCGCACGGGAACGACATGTCTCTGTCCTGGCCTGGCCCGCCAGACTCCGCCTCTCGCTCCTCGCGGCGCCTGGTCGGCCCTCCTCGAGCCTTCGTGGTCTCCAAACCAGGTGGTGAGACACCCGGTGGTGACCCCGATCCCCCCAAAAAACAATTCTGGGTCACCACCGGGTTTGGGGACACGCGGTCGCCACGAGGTTCTGCGTTTCCTGGGCCAGCCAGCGCTCGACAACCATGACCCAAATCGCCCCAAACTCACCACTGGGTGTTCTCACCACCACGTTTGGGGACCACCAACAAACGGGGATCAGCCAGAGCGTTCCGGATCCTGCAGGATCCTGCGGAGTCAGGGGTGCGCTGACCTGGGTTGGGGTGCAGGAAGGATCCTGCAGGGTCCTGCAGGATCCAGGCCTGACCGACCCGGGTCTGGATCGACCCGGGTCAGGAAGATCCCCGAGTGGTGCGAGGTGGGCGGGCCGGGGGGCCACCGGGCGGACCACGTTTGGGGACCATCAAGAGCCCCAGCGCAGGCCCACCGGAGGAGGGCGACTCTGCGGCGGAGGGCCCCGCAGCGCAGGGGAGCCTCTGCGGCGACTCCGCGGCGGAGGGCCCCCCGCGGAGCGCCGCTGGCCCCTCGCGCTCCTGCGGGTGGCCCCAGGGCGGAAGCGACCGACTCGGAGCCCGCTGCGTGGGCGGCAGGGAGAGGGCCGCCCTCCTCCTCCTCCTCCTCCTCCTCCTCCCTCCTCCTCCTCCTCCTCCTCCTCCTCCTCCTCCTCCTCCTCCTCCTCCTCCTCCTCCTCCTCCTCCTCCTCCTCCTCCTCCCTCCTCCCCCTCCTCCTCCTCCCCTCCTCCCCCTCCTCCCCCTCCTCCCCTCCCCCTCCTCCCCCTCCTCCCCCTCCCCCCTCCCCCTCCCCTCCTCCTCCTCCTCCTCCTCCTCCTCCTCCTCCTCCTCCTCCTCCTCCTCCTCCTCCTCCTCCTCCTCCTCCTCCTCCTCCCGCCTCCCGCCTCCCGCCTCCCGCCTCCCCTCCTCTCCTCCTCCTCCTCCTCCTCCTCCTCCTCCTCCTCCTCCTCCCTCCTCTCCTCCTCCTCCTCCTCCTCCTCCTCCTTCCTCCTCCTCCTCCTCCTCCTCCTCCTCCTCCTCCTCCTCCTCCTCCCCTCCTCCCGCCTCCCGCCTCCCGCCTCCCGCCTCCTCCTCCTCCGCCTCCCGCCTCCCGCCTCCTCCTCCTCATCATCATCATCCACTGCCGCCGTTCGCCGTGCAGGGAAGGGGCCCGCAGGAGCACGGGTCCCGAGGTCCTTCGCCGATCTCGGGGGGGCGGACAGCCAAATCCTAGGTCACCAAACTTCGCGCACCGCACCCGGCGATGCGCGACGCGCGATGACCTTCGCGCCCTCGCGCTGGCCCCTTGGAGAAGGGCAGCCGCTCTGGTCCAGAACCGCGATGCGCGAAGCGCAACTGCCTTCGCGCCCACGTGGGTGATCTAGTAAGCCCGGGGGGGGGGGAGAACGCGCACCTTTCCAGCACATGTTGGACCCACGGTGGCAGCTGTGAAGCTGTTACCAGGCCATTTCGGGCCCGTGCTCCTGCAATCATCAGCCCCTCCTCCGTTCCGCTCACTGCCGAGGATCCTCGGCACGTGGGTCGGCGACAACGCGCGACTATCCGCCGAAGACCTTCGGGACGACGACGCTGCCGGTGCAACGAGGACCGAAACAGGCTGCGTTCCCTCGGTGCCACGCACAGGCGCCGTCGCGCGCCGTCGAGTCGATCGAGGCGTCGACGGCCGGGCTCTCCCGCCGCCCTCCCAGAGAGGAGGGGCCGCCGCCCGAGGCTGCCCAGGTGACCAGGTCGAACGGCACGCTGTACCAGAAGAAGCCGACCCGCGGCTTGCGGCGGTGGGTCGTCGGGAGAAGGGGGGAAGGGCGCGAGAGAAGCGGAAGCATGGGGTGGGAGGGGGTTAGAAGGCGGCTGCACCGAGATCGGGTGCTGGCAGAAGTGGCCGAGGGAGGGGGCAAAATGTACCAGTGAGGAGGGCAATGAGATTGAGGCCGAGGAGGGAGGAGAAAGGGGGGACGCGGAAGGAGGAAAGGAGATGGAGGAAAGAAACATAATAAAAAGACAGAGGAAGGAGGAAGGAAGAAGATAACAAAGGAGATCAAGCAGAAACGGAAAAATATTAAGGATGCAAGGAGCAGGGCGAACACGGGAGGAGAAATAGGGATGAGGAGAGAACGGCAGAGATGCATACGACCAGGAAGCTACGCGGACGGAGTGCTAGGAGGGTCTGCCTCTATACGTACATGTGTATGTTGCGGTATGCACACATACTTACATGCATGCGTGTGTGTGCGTGCGTGCACGCATACATACATGCGCACACGCATACATACATGCATACATGCATATATACATACACCTATACGTATACACATGCATGCATACACACATGCATATATGCACATATGCATGTATCCACACATACATACATACATGCATACATGTGTTTGTACATGTACACACATACATGCATACATGTATACATACGTATACACCTATATGTATATAAACATACATACATGCATGCCCACCTACATTCATACATACATACAGACATACATCCACATGCATACATACATACATGCATACATACATACCTGTCTACGGACCTACCTACCTACCCACCTTCCCACCTATCTACCTACGTACCTACCCACCTGACTGCACACCTTCCGACCTACCTACCCACATGCATGCATGAACACACACACACACATACGTACATACATACATGCATTACATGCATGCATGCATGCATACATGCATACACACACCAACACACCCACACACCTACATACATACCAGCATACATACATACACACATACATACGTATATACATACATACATACGTGCGTGTATACATACATACATACATACATACATACATACATACATACATACATATATGCATACATGCATGCGTATACACATACATGTATACATATATACATGTATACATACAGCCATACATACATACATACATACATACATACATACATGCATACATATATACATACACACATACATACATATATACATACATATATACATACATATATACGTGCATACATACATCCATACATGTAGACATACATGCATGCATGCATGCATACATACGCACGTACACATAAACATACATGCATACGTACATACATGCATATATGCAGGTATACATGCATACGTACTGACATACGTGCATAAGTGCACACATACATACATACATACATGCATAGCTACATACGTGAGTACGTGCATGCACACATACATGTATGCATGCATACATACATACATGCATATATACATACATACGTACATGGATGCATACGCAAACAAATAGCAGAAAAGTGCAGGGGGTAAGGAGAGGAGAACGGGCAGCCGCGGTGCGGCGGCGGTGCGACGAACGCGTCCTGGAATATTACGAAGTACAGCGCTGTGAACGTGAAGGTCTGCAGCGTAAGGTCTAACAAATCGACGACCTCCCATTCAACTTTTCCCCTTCCTCCTCCTCCTCCTCCTCCTCCTCCTCCCCCTCCTCCTCTTCCTCCTCCTCGTCCTCCTCTTCCTCCTCCTCCTCCTCCTGCGGCACAGTATCGAACACATCGACGATTTACCATCCCTGGTTTATCCGATTCCTCTTCCTCCTCCTTTCTTATGTTTCTTCTGCTCCTTCCTCCCCACCTCCCGTCACCACGGCCCTACCTCCTCGTCCCGCTCGAGCTCAGCGTCACCCTCCTCCGCCGTTCCCGCTCCTCTGCCTGTCCTCCTTTGCCCCCATCCTCCCGATATATTGTCGCTCCGTCCTCCCCGTCCTCCACCCCTTCCTACTACTTCCGAGCCTTCTGAGAAGGCCCGCGCCCTCTCACTTCCCCCCTGGCTCGCCGCCGACCCTGGCCCCACCTGCCGCGAGAGCCAGTACGCGAACACGTTCTGCCCCGAGGCACGGTCGCGCAGGAAGACTGGCTGGTCGCTGCCTCCACGGCGCAGAATCCGGGGGGAGGGCGCGGGGCGGGCTGGGGCCCGCGCTGGAGGAGGCCGGACGGAGAGGGGGGAGAGTATGGACCCCCCTCCTCCTCCTCCTCCTCCTCCTCCTCCTCCTCCTCCTCCTCCGCATCCTCGTCCTCCAGCTGCCACACCTTCCCCCGTCCTCCCCTTCCTCATCCTCCTCGTCTGCATCCGCATCGCCATCATCACATGACTCACCCCTGTGCCGCGAGGCACTGCGTGGAATGTTCTCAATCAGACTCCTTCGAGTCTCAATCCTCAAATATTGTATACGTCTGGAGGGTATTATTCACGGGGCCCCCGAACTCCTGGCGAGGCCTCGCGTCCTCGGGGCGTTCCGCACGAGTTGACGAGGGGCGGCGGAGGGTCAAGACGGGACCCAAGACATCCCTGAGAGGGGGGAAGAGAAGGGACGTTGGGGAGCCTTTTCCCCAAAGATTGCCCCCAAAGACCCCCAACATTCCCCCAAGAGACCCCTAGAACCTAGAAGGGCCCAATCAGCTAGCAAGATGCTCCCGAAGAGGCCTCCAGGAGGTCCGTCTGAGGCTCAACAGCCATCCCGAGGTTACCCCAAGAGCGCCCTAGCAGCCGACGGCGAGCGTTCCACCATTGCACTTTTTACCCAGCACGAGCCTTCCAGCAATCAAACTGAACAGAATGAAGGGGCCCTGGGACACACAAATACATAGACACAAATATCAGGATTCCCCATCTTCCCCCATATTTTCTGGGTTTTTGTCTTCCCCCCCACTTCCCATATTTCCCCATCTTTTCTTGGGAATCGACGATTCATTGTGTCTGTGTTTTTTCCCCTCCTGAAATAAGGGTGTGACGTCGCCGTCGACGTCGTCGCCGCCGACGTCGTCGCCGTTGCCGCCGTGGTCATCGCCTCGCCAGCACCGTCGCCATCGCCGCCGTGGACATCGCCGTCGCAACTCTCGCCGTCGCCACGTTCGTCCTCGTGGCCGGCGGCATCGTCGTCGGTGACTTTGCAGGGGCCGTCGGTGCAGTCGCCGCAGTCGCCTTCGCCTTCGCAGGCGCCGTCGCCGTCGCTGTCGCCGTCGCCATCGCCACCGTGGCCGTCGCCAGGGTCGTCGTCGTACTCGCCGACATCGCCGCCCTTGCCGTTGCCACCGTCGTTGTCGTCGTCACAGCCGTCGTCGTGATGGTCGCCGCGGCCCGCCTATCAAATCTCACCTTCGAGACATCCCACTGACTGAAGCTAATCATTATCATGGCCATCCTTGTCGCCCGCATCACCATCATCATTATCGTCATCATCACCACCATTCGTCATCAACACGAGTCATCGTCAACGTGACAACGACCATACATCATCGTCGTCATCATCAGTACCATCGTCACCATCACGCAAGCATCACCACTTATCATCGCCACCCTGATTTGCTGCATCATCATACTCACCATCATACTCGTGGTCGGTCATCACCATTACTGTCAATATCACCATGACCATCACACCATAATCATAAGAATATGTCAGGGTAAGTTTAGTTTTCTAGAGAGGGTGCCACCTCGGCCTTGACTGGATCGGCAACGGGACGGAAGCCCCGTCTCGCCACAGCAAGGATTACTCGCTCGGAGTCTACGGGTGGATGGGGAAGCTCATCATCATGATCACGATTAGGTCCCAGATCCATGATCATGAAGAGGGTCACCATGGTCACATCGTCAGGGCGGCGGTAATGATCATGACACTGACCCTGATCATCACCGACAACTCGACGGTCGCCAACAACGCAGCCATGGTCGTGATGACGACGGCCATGGCGGTCTCCAGAAATCAAAGCATCATTGGCCAAATGCAGGACGCGCGAGCGCGTTAGCCTGTTCCATCTGCTCCGCGCGATGCCCGTCTGAAAAATCAAGGAGCGTTACCTCCGCCGCAGTACTCAGCATCACCAACATCATCAGTATCAGTATCAGTATCAGTATCAGTATCAGTATCAGTATCAGTATCAGTATCAGTATCAGTATCAGTATCATCATCATCATCATCATCATCATCATCATCATCATCATCATCATCATCATCAGCATCAGCATCAGCATCAGCATCATCATCATCATCATCATCATCATCATCATCAGCATCAGCATCAGCATCATCAGCATCAGCATCAGCATCATCAGCATAATCATCAACAGCATCAGCATCATTCTCATCATCATCATCATCATCATCATCACCATCACCATCACCATCACCATCATCATCATCATCATCATCATCATATTCATACTCATCTTCATCTTCATCTTCATCTTCATCATCATCATCATCATCATCATCATCATCATCATCATCAGCATGACAAACATCATAATCAGCATCATCAGCATCATCAGCATGATCTTCATCAGCATCAGCATCAGCATCATCGTCATCATCATTATGATCATTATCGTCATCATCATCATCATCAGCATCAGCATCATCGTCATCATCATCAGCATCATCATCAGCATCATGATCATCATCAACGTCAGCATCACCACCGCCCTAATGACCATCATCATCAGCATCAGCACCATCATCATCAACACCATCACCATCATCAGCATCATCATTATCATCAGCATCACCAGCATCATCATTATCATCAACACCATCATCAGCACCATCATCATCGTCGCTGTCGTCGTCGTCACAATTGTCGTCACAATCATCATCGTCATAGTCATTCTGACAACCAGAACCAGTATCACTGGTCGTCATCAGCACCATCATCATCAGCAGCAGCATCATCATTACCATCATCATCACCATCACCATCATCAGCATCATCATCACCAGCATCACCAGCATCACCATCATCATCATCATCATCATCATCATCATCATCATCGTCATCATCAGTACCACCGCCATCACCATCACCATCACCATCACCACCATCGTCGTCGTCGTCATCGCCATCATCGCCATCGTCGTCGTCGTCATCGTAATATTCGTTCTCGCCATCAGAACCAGCATCACTGTCGTCATCAACGTCTTCGTCGTCCTGCTCGCACTCCCGTACACGAGGGGGGAAACAGAGGAGGATGAGGAGAAAGCAGAGGAGGGCCGAGGCGCAGCATCGGATTCGAACGAGGGCCAGCCAGCAAAGGAAGAAGGGGAGGGGGCGGGATTCCCGACACAGGGGTCCCGCACCCCAAGCACAGGCCGAGGACCACTGGCAGGGTGTATGCCACAACCTGGCGTGGCTACCCTCCTGGCGGACCCCGCGACCCGATCAGGCAGCCTCCTACCCGATCAGGCCTGCACCGAGGCAGCCGATGCCTGTCTTATCGGCAGTCGGCGAGCCGTCCACGCCAGACGGGCACCTCGATCGACGCGCGGCAGGGCAAAAACTGTCCGGCGGCCTGGACAACGTGACCACGAAAGGATAGGCATACAGGGCCTGCACGAGCAGGCCATCATATGTGAAGCCAGGTCCGTGCACGAGCAGGCCGAAACACCGTTTGGCTCGAGCCCTGGTGCACGCGTCCGTGCTGTTAGGCGCAGTCTGGGCCTTACTGGCCACAGCCCCAGACCGGCGGAGAGTACTTCAGCGGACATGTCGACGGAGAAGCGAACGAGGCGGTAGGGCCATGCGCGGCCTGCGACTGTCCCGAGCCACCCACTGATAGGGTCCGCAGCCTGATTGACGACCGTGACGTACCGCCCAGGTGAGGGGGGGCGCCAGAACCAACGGGGCCGCCACGGCGTGGAAGAGACGGCGCCAGGCGCACTCGCGCCTTGGCTCGAGCCCCCCACGCGGCGCTCGAAGGGACAGTGTCGGAAGGTGCGAGGTGGTGCCGCGCCTCGGGCCGAGCCTCCACGACGAAGCCGTGGGCCGCTTGCTGGCGGCGCCCTCGGCGAGCGGTGGATGGCGCGCGCGCCCGCGAGCTCGGTGGACAGCATCCGCCTGGACGCTGGGCACTGCGAGTCCAGGCCTGGCCTGGCGCGCCCCCGGCGGTGCACGCCTCGGAGCCGCCCGTCGGGGCCCCCGAACCTGCTGCGGGCCGTCGCGCGCGGCCCGCGATGGCAGCGCGGAAGGCCCGCGGCTGGGCTACGGCTACGGCTACGGCTACGGCTGCGGCTCCGCGCGCGCGGCGCCCCGAGTGCGGGGCGGAGGGGGCGCCGAGGCGCCTGCGTGACAGGAGGCGGCAAGGTGAGCGCAAGGGCAAACAGTGCATGGGAGCCTTCAGGGCAGGGGTGCTTCTCAGGAGCCCTCCCCCCTGCCCCCCTCTGCTGGGGAAACCAAGAGGCACCGATACCACTGCTCCCCGGACCTCTCTCAGGGTGTGTTCTGACCAGGCTTTCGAGGCGAAGCCAGCGGTGGCGACGAGGGTCTCCCAGGAGGCCCCAAAAAGGGGACAACGAGGAAAGGGTAGAGGTGTGAATACCTTTTCCTCCTGTGATCTGCGCGCCGCCGACCTTTCTTTGGACGCCCGAAATGGGTACGGAAAAAATGGGCACAATGCCAAACAACAAATGCTGTCCCAAACCAGCAGCGGCCGCTGTTGGGCAGGCGGCCTTCTGTCTCAGATGGACACAGGCCGCGGCGGCGCAGACAGCGAGCCCTGCTCAAAATGAACAGGAACTGCTGTTGGGCACTGTACCCATTCTTTCCGTACCTATCTCGTTCGTGCCGAGGGTAGAGGCACGGGTACTCCAGATTTCGTAATAAAAGGGAGGGGGTCTCATTTCGGGGGGGGGTCTCTTCCAGGCTATCTTGGAGGGCCTGGGGGGTCTGGGGACGATGTTTTGGAGGGTTCTCCCACGGGGGAGGTCTGAAATGGCTTGTCTTGGAGGGTCCAGACCCCCTCCCTTTTACTACGAAATCTGGAGTACCTCTTCCTCCTCTGATCTGCGCGCCGCCGACCCTGCCTCCTCCGAGCCCCGCCTGCGGCCGCGGCAAGCTGCGGCCAGCAGCAGCGGCGGCGGGCCGGCGGCGCCGGGCTGGCGGCGCCGGCGGGGCGGCCCCGGCGCCCCACGGGGGCCGCGGGGGGCGCCGGCCGCGGGTGGGCCCCAGTGTGGGGGCGGCCCAGCGGGTGGTTTTTTCCCCAATCAGTGCTTGCACGGAAGGGGTCCTAGTGGAAGTGGAAAGATTTGGCGAAGAGCTCCCGCCGACTTTGGTCGCACGCTGGGTTCCCGGATAAGGACCCGGTTCCGGGTTCCCGGAGAGATTTGGCGAAAGATTCCTGCCGATTTTGGTAGCCGGCTGGGCTCCCAGGTTCCTGGTTCCGGGTTCCTGCAACCCTCGTCAAAAATAACCTCAAAAATGCCTCACGTAGCTGAACTGATTGTGGGAGATATCGGACCGAGTGCCGATGAGTGCGATGTACTTGTATGCGCCGCCCCTCCAATGTCGGTCATCTTTGAATTTTCGAGTCGCTCCCAGTCACACCACATCTGCCCTGGCCCCGACATTGAAGGGGCGTCGTATCGACATTGAAGGGGCGCGCCGACATCGAAGGGGCGTGCCCGCCATTTTGAGGTTAATTTTGACGAGGGTTGTGGGTTCCTGGTTATTGGTTCCGGGCCGATTTCGATGGGTTCCGGGGTTTTCGGGGGTTCTGTGGGTTCCAGGCCGATCTCGGTGGGTTTCGGTGGGGTCCGGGCCGATTTCGGTTGGTTTTTAGAGGCCTCCTAGATGGGGTCGGAGTAGATGGGGTCGGAGGATCGCGCCGCATCGCCGATACATCGGCGATGCATCGCCGATGCATCGGCGATGCGGCGCGATGCACCGACCCCATGTGCTCGGACCCCATCTGGGAGGCCTAGGGCTTTAGCATCGACGGCACGGGGAACAAAAAAAAACACAGGAAGAGAGGAGGAAAAAGAGGAACACAAACTCTGGTTAGCCCTCAGGGGATTCAGACCAGGGCCCGAGGTCGGCTGTAAGCCGCGGGTAGGCCCCAGCGTGGGGGCGGCCCAGGGGGGGGGGGTAACATCGACGACATGGGGGAACAAAAAACATACACAGCAAGAGAGGAGGAAGAGGAGGCAAACCTCTGGTTTGGGGATCCAGACCAAGGCCCGACGTCGGCTGTAAGCCGCGGGTAGGCCCCAGCGTGGGGGCGGCCCAGCGGGGGGGGGTTGACATCGACGACACGGGGACAAAAACACACACACACAGTCAGAGCCCCGAATCATCAGGGGTAATTCGGGTCAGGGATAACTCGGGTTCGTTTTTCGGGAATCCGAGCCCGAGTTATCCCGGACCCGAGTTACCCCGGATAACTCGGGCGTCCAAGAGCCCCGAATCATCAGGGGTAACTCGGGTCAGGGATAACTCGGGTTCCTTTTTCGGGAATCCAAACCCGAGTTACCCCGGACCCGAGTTACCCCGGATAACTCGGGCGTCCAACACAGGAAGAGAGGAGGAAGAAGAGGCAAAACGCTGGTTAGCCCTCCGGGGACTCAGGCCAAGGCCCAGCGTCGGCCGTGGCACCGTCGGGCTTGGGCGGGCGCCGGCGAGGAGGGGCCCTGGCAGGCCCAGGAGCAGGAGCCACTGGGCGAGCAGCACCGAGAGGTCTGTTGTGCAAGGCTGTTCGCTCTTTGCCTGCTCGCGTGCAAGGAAGCCAGCGCGCTTCGCTGTGGCAGTCGGCGACGGCACGAGCAGCGCGGCCGAAGAGCGGCCCCCGTGGCCGGTCTGGCGGCTCTGCCTCGACGTGGCGGAGCAGGGAGGCCAGGGAGGCCATGCTGGCCCGCTTCTAGAGGCAGAGGGGGAGCGACCCGGGTCAATCCAAGCCTGGCCCTGAGATCCTGGCGACTCACTTTTCTCGTTCTGGACATTCTCGCGCAGTTTCGGGCCCCGGGATCTGCACAGATCGATCCGGCTAGGTAAATGACGCAGAAAGATGGGGTCCAGGGGTCCAGTCGTGATTTTTTGTGATGTAGCATTTTTGTTGCAACGCCGGATCTCAAAGGGGCGCGGTGGCATGACGGCGAGCATCAGCAGAAGGCGCCAGGTGCCTACCCGCGACGATGACCAGACAGGGTGGCATCTGGACGGGAGGTGATGATCGGTAGGGGTCATGAGACCGCTCAGAAAAAGTGCGCGAAGATGATCAGTGCGGTCGGCGGGAACATCGAGGGCCGACACGACCAGGAGAGGCAGCGGCAAGTGGCGCCGGGTCGCCGGCGCGGCGGCGCCGCCGCTCGGGCAGTTAAAACCAGGCACGAGAGGGCGAGCCTGCACATGAGGCGAGTCGTGTGTGCCTCAGGCTAGCCGGGAGGGGCCTCTGGCAGAACCACAGCGTGCCAAGCACCAGCTGGAGGGCGGACCTCCGGGGGGAGGGGGCGGAGGCGATCTGGAGGAGCGGCAAGGCGCGGAGCGGAGCGGGGCTCCGAGGTGAGCTCCAGCACGGGCACAGCGCGGTGCGGCGGCACGCAGTGCACGCGCGCGCGCCGCCTGGCTGACGCGACGTCGCCGAGGCCGCCGGCCAAGTGGCGGCCGTCGGCACCGAGCATGATCTTGACTACCTACCAGACCACCCCAACCCAACCCGAAGACCCGAATTTCGGGTTGGGGGGGGTAAGGGTTCCACATGTGTTTTTTCGATGTTCCCCGACCCCCCCCCCACTGGAAATCGAGGGTAAATCTGAGCCTTCGGGTTGGGTTGGGGTGGTTTGGTGGGTGGTGAGATCTGGCCATGGTAGACATGTGGATATGGAAATGCGACCAGGTGGCGGGTGGGGCCCCTGGTGGGGGAGCTTCGGCGGAAAAGGCGTCGCCGCGTGAAGGCCACCCTCCCGTTGGCTCGCCCCTGCACGCGGAGACGGCGTACCGCACGCGTGGTCTAGCCGATACTGGAGGGAGGAGGGAAGAGGGAGGACGAGGTAGGACGAGGAGGAGGGTTGGAAGGGGTCAGGAAGGAGGAGGGAGGACAGAGAGCTGTGGAGGAACGCCACGAACGCGAGCCATGTCCTGCAGAGTCCCAGGGCCCTCCCAAGGGCCGTAGGTCGCCAGGCAAAAAATCGACGTCAGCAGGGACAGCGCAGTGTGGGTGTTGAGGTACGCGTTGGCCTCCCATCGCGGCACCTGGAAGGGACGGAGGGGAGGGGGCGGGGCAGGGGGGAGGAGGAAAGGGGGAGAAGAACAAGGACGCCAACTATCCATGCCTGGACCGGCCCCGACTCCAGACCAGGCCCGGCCCGGCCCAGACCCGGGATCGGCAGCCAGGAAGGTGTGCACACCGACCCACATAGCAAGGATGGGCAACCTTCCCAAGGGTACCTCTGCATCCTTGCCTCCTCGGTACATCCTTGGCCACTTCCGTTGGCCACGCCCCGCTCGAGAAGCTTCGATGTGGCCTTCCAAGGCCCTTGCATGCATATCGTGCGTCCTTATTGCACGGGTTGACGGTGCACCGACCCTGGGGCCCAGGTTCGGCCTGGCCAGTGCACGGTGCAGGCGAGGGGCCTGCGGGCCTACGCCCCCCGAGCAACAAAAAAAGGGGGCGGAGGAGGACGAGCGAGCCGAGCTCCACGAGGGGGGCCCAGGGAAAAAGCGGCACGACCGTAGCGCTCGACACATCCGGCCAGCTACAGTCGACCCGTAAGAAGGATGCGTGGTGCGGATGCGAGAGCCTTGGACGCCCATTTCGGAGCTCTTCGAGCGGAGCGCGGCCAACGGAAGTGGCCAAGGATGCACCGAGGAGGCAAGGCTGCAAGGGTACACTCGGGAAGGTTGCCCATCCTTACTATGCGGATTGACTGTAACTCCCATGGCGGTCCAAGGGAGGCATGGGGCCACAAGGCCGCCCCGAGGAAAAACTCGGCTGGGCACGCACGGGACAGATCAGTGTTGTCCGTTGAGCTCGTGAAAAATGATCCGTGTTGGTTGACTGTGCTAGCACAGCGCGTGTGTGTGTATGTGTGTGTAAGTGTGTGTGTGTGTGTAAGTGTGTGTGTGTAAGTGTGTGTGTGTAAGTGTGTGTGTGTAAGTGTGTGTGTGTTTGTAAGTGTGTGTGTGTGTAAGTGTGTGTGTAAGTGTGTGTGTGTGTAAGTGTGTGTAAGTGTGTGTGTGTAAGTGTGTGTGTAAGTGTGTGTGTAAGTGTGTGTAAGTGTGTGTGTAAGTGTGTGTGTAAGTGTGTGTAAGTGTGTGTAAGTGTGTGTGTAAGTGTGTGTGTAAGTGTGTGTGTGTAAGTGTGTGTGTAAGTGTGTGTGTAAGTGTGTGTGTGTAAGTGTGTGTGTAAGTGTGTGTGTGTGTGTAAGTGTGTGTGTAAGTGTGTGTGTGTGTAAGTGTGTGTGTAAGTGTGTGTGTGTGTGTAAGTGTGTGTGTGTGTGTAAGTGTGTGTGTAAGTGTGTGTGTGTAAGTGTGTGTGTAAGTGTGTGTGTAAGTGTGTGTGTGTGTGTAAGTGTGCGTGTGTGTAAGTGTGTGTAAGTGTGTGTAAGTGTGTGTGTAAGTGTGTGTGTAAGTGTGTGTAAGTGTGTGTAAGTGTGTGTGTGTGTGTGTGTAAGTGTGTGTAAGTGTGTGTAAGTGTGTGTAAGTGTGTGTAAGTGTGTGTAAGTGTGTGTGTGTGTAAGTGTGTGTGTGTGTGTAAGTGTGTGTAAGTGTGTGTGTGTGTGTGTAAGTGTGTGTAGTGTGTGTAAGTGTGTGTAAGTGTGTGTAGTGTGTGTAAGTGTGTGTAAGTGTGTGTAAGTGTGTGTGTAAGTGTGTAAGTAAGTGTGTGTGTGTGTAAGTGTGTGTAAGTGTGTGTAAGTGTGTGTAAGTGTGTGTAAGTGTGTGTAAGTGTGTGTAAGTGTGTGTAAGTGTGTGTGTGTAAGTGTGTGTAAGTGTGTGTAAGTGTGTGTAAGTGTGTAAGTGTGTGTAAGTGTGTGTAAGTGTGTGTGTAAAGTGTGTGTAAGTGTGTGTAAGTGTGTGTAAGTGTGTGTAAGTGTGTGTAAGTGTGTGTAAGTGTGTGTAAGTGTGTGTAAGTGTGTGTAAGTGTGTGTAAGTGTGTGTAAGTGTGTGTTGTGTGTAAGTGTGTGTAAAGTGTGTGTGTAAGTGTGTGTAAGTGTGTGTAAGTGTGTGTGTAAGTGTGTGTGTGTAAGTGTGTGTGTAAGTGTGTGTGTAAGTGTGTGTGTGTGTCGTGTGTGTAAGTGTGTGTGTGCAAGTGTGTGTGTGTGTGCAAGTGTGTGTGTGTGTGCGTGTGTGCGTGTGTGCGTGTGTGCGTGTGTGCGTGTGTGCGTGTGTGCGTGTGCGCGTGTGCGCGTGTGCGCGTGTGCGCGTGTGCGCGTGTGCGCGTGTGCGCGTGTGCGCGCATGTGTGCGCATGTGTGCGCATGTGTGCGCATGTGTGCGCATGTGTGCGCATGTGTGCGCATGTGTGCGTGTGTGTGCGTGTGTGTGTGTGTGTGTGCGTGTGCATGTTCGGGTGCGTGTGCGCGGGTGTGTGAGCAGTATACGAGATGGCGCGTGCGTGCTTGGCTGCGTGCGCATGTACGCGTACGTGCTGCGTGCGCGCGTGTGTGCGTTTGTTCAGTGGTATGTACTGTGTGTTGTGTGACGCTGTGTTATGTGTGATGTGTGCGCGCATGTGGAGCATGCTGCACGCTGTGTGTCTGAGAAATACTACGCGATGTGTGGACTGCATTGCGTGCTTTGCGTCGCATGCTGCTTTTTGGTCGAGTCAAGTCGAGGGCTACATTGAAGACTTCCTGAGCCATCTTCAGGGCCCCTGCGGAAGTTTCTGGGCGCTATTGGGCTACCTTGGACAATGCGGGGAGGTGATTCGGGCTCCTCCTGGGGACAGAAGAGGGAGCAAGGGCATCATAAGTCCTACCCGAGCTTGACACCCGACTGTCCACGACAGCATTGCGTCTGGTTTGTTCCATACATCGAGTGCTATTGGAACGTTGTGCGCGGATGCGCCTCCATAGTAATGCGCCGTTGGCGACGCAGCTTCCACTGATGAGGGGACGCCAGAAATATGCTGCTGTTGTCACTGGTTGCTGCTATAGTGTCGCTGGGCCAAACCACGAAGTGACCATGGATCGATTACAAAAGAAAACTTGGTTGTCACTGCTGCGAAGCACGCTGATCTGCCATTCATCACGCCGCGAATGGTTCCACGCGGGTTAACTGATCATCCGCACGATCGTATTCGCTTCCTGCAACAAGAAATCAGCTCTGATCATTCATGGGCCTAGAGCGCCGAGCGCTCCACACCTGCAGAACGTTCCGAGACCGCGATTGGTTCTTAGGGCGCCTGCATCTACGACCATGGGCCCTCCCTGATTCCTGACACCGCGTGAACCACGAGCGTGCGAGCCTCAAGCCTGCACGTGTGTCACATGCAGACCTAAGCGGGTGGGGACAGCGGGAGGGTAGGCTGAGAAACCGATCCTCCTGCGAGACTGGCACCGCGGTGCGGTGCAAGAAGAGCCCAAAAAGCAGCTGTCTGAATGACAGCCACAGGGCACAATGCACGAGCTCGCAGACGACAAAATGACGGCATGGCTCGAGCGTGCGAGTTGCGACACCCAAGGTAGAGCTGTCATCACCGCCGCGGGCAGGGATGCGCGACGGCGCAACATCTCGAGGGGCCCACGGCGACAGTCGGGCGAGGCGCGGATCTGCAAGCAGCCGCACCAAGGCCCACAGGAGGCCCAAGGACAGGCGGAGGGGGGGCACCTGCACAGGACCAGCAACGGAGGGCCCGAAACGGACCCCAGTACTGGGGTGCAAACCCAGGGCGGCATTCCGCAGCAGGAGCGCGCGCGCGTGGCCAGGGCATTCTCGTTCAATGCCACGTCGCCACACTGCTGCTTCAATTTCTCGCAGTGCCCATAGGGCAGGACAAGGTAGGCAGCGCCAATTCGGCTGATCAGCCTCAAAAACTCCCAACCCAGACTGCCTGCGCCCATCTTGGCCTACGGACCCCTCGGCCCCATGAGGCCCACGCGGTCCCGGGACACTCGCGACAGAGTAGCCATTGACGGGCGCAGGCTGGGCGGCGAAGGATGTTGCTTCAGGATGCAGCTGAAAAAACGGGTCGGCCCTCCCATTCTGCACGCGCGTGGGCTGGCAACTCCTGCTGGCTCCGCTGACCACCCCCTGAGGGCCATGTCGGCAGCGGCACATGTCGCGGACACGGCACCTCCACTCCGACCTCCCAGGGTTTCAAAAAACGCGATTCACAATCTGAATAGATATGTCTCCCGTGTTTCGTCGGCGTCCTGACTCGGCAAGGGCTCCCAAGAGAGGGGCCTCTGCGCGCGCGATCAAGACAGCGCTCGACAAGAATGTCTAAGTGAGCTTGCATTTCGGGGCACGCAGGCGCTCGGCATCCACCGCAATCCGGGCACATCGGCGCCTCTGGGCCCCGAGCCCGGCGAAGAAATCAGCCCGAGAGTTGCCGGGGACATTCGAGATGACGTCGGGCCGTTGACCCACCACATCTCCGAGCGCACGGCGAGCCTTGACCCACTCGAGAGACGGAAGCCTGGGAGCCATGACCGCCCTTCCTTGACAAAACTCAAATGGTATTTAATAATGGCCCCGACCTGGGGGGGGGCAACTTTGAACGCGTGAAAACAAGCAAACCTCTCGGCTAGAAGCACTGACCGGCGCCCAAAGAAAAAACAAAAAAAACAAAAAAAAAAAAAAAAAAAAAAAAAAAACGCGGCCCAAACGGGGAAACCCGAGTCGGAAACCTCGACGACGGCCCAGCAACACCGTCGGAGCTCGGGGCTCGAGTTCGCGAGCCCCGATCCATCGGCGCAGAGCCGACTGCCCCGCGGCAGGTGAGTTGCCCCCCAGAGGGGCTCCAAGCGAACGGAAGCTGGCATCGCATACTTGACGGGGCGACGCGGGACGCCGTAGGCAATCTCATGCGCGCCCCAGTCAGGTTCTCCAAGACCTTTGTCCCCGAGGCCTCTCAGATGCCCCCTGCGCTCCAGAAGCACGGGGGCCAAGGGCTCAAGGTCGGGGTCTCCCGAGGGCCTCAGGAGGACATCGCAATCAAAAAACTGGCGCACAAGAGCCCCTGGGGCCAGAGAAGAAAGAGAGAAACACACCCCCAAAAAAGCTCACAGCAGACTCACGAAATCCAGCCTC